GGGCAGGCGCCACCCCCACCCCCAGGAGCTCACAGCCAAGTTGGGGGAGGGGGTGGCTCAGGGCTGGCGTGGGCCTCAGAATGCTCTGGTCCAATGCTCCCATTTTACAGACAGGGGAAACTGAGGCCCGGGAAGCCAGAAGGCTCCCCCACTGCCAGACAATAAGTAAGGGAATGAGCAGCCACATCTGATGACCCCAAACACCACGGAACCGAGAAAAGGTCCTGTTGGCCAGGGTCACTGGGTCTGGCACAAGCAGCCACCAGGTGAAGGCACCCCCTGCACTCAGCACCCAGCAAGCATCAGTGTGGCTAAGGAGGCTGGGGCCAGGCCCACAAGCCCATTTGCCCTTCACGGCACCCATCCCGCCACCAGGCTTTCATCCAGCTCCTTCTGTGAGCTGAGAGCCCGGCCCTGGACCAGGCAGTGGGGATGGGACACAGTTGAGACACATGGTTACTGATGATGGCCACACCCCACGGGGCATGCAGGAGGCCAGCAAAAGGGGCCCAGATCCAGCCTGGGAGGTCAGGGAGGCTTCCTGAAGGAGGAACATCATGGGACAAGGCTTGAAGAAAGAGAGCCCCAGGAAAGGTGGGGCAGAGGGCATCCAGGCCTGTGGACAGCACATGGCCAGGCCCAGGGTCCACAGGAGGTAGTGAGAAATGTCCTCGCAGTCTGGAGAGGAGGGCTGACTGCAAGAGCCAGGTGGAGCTGTGCAGACAAGGGAGGCGATGCAGAAAACAGCTGCAGCCCTGGAAGAGCTGGCTGCAGCAGAAACCCAGAAATACATCTTCTCCTCAGCCTAGGAGGGTGGGCAAGGCCACAGGTGCCACATATGTGCATACACATCCATATGTGTGAACCCATGTGTGCACATGCATGACTGGGGTCATGCATAGGGACAGATGTGTGCAGCACAGGCATAAAAACGTGTGTGCAATGTGCATGGATTCGTGTTATCTGCATAGGCAAGGGTGTGCATGCATGCAGTATGCACAGGTATGTGCACAGCATGGGTACATAACATTTCTACATATGCCAGTGTCATGTATATGCATGTGTAGAGATACATGTGCAAAGAGCACGTGTATGTTAGTGCATATGTATGCACCTGCATGTGAATAGTACATGGACATGTGTGTGCACACGTAGGCATGCTTGTGAACATGTATGTGTGCATATATGTGTGCATATTCTGTATACATGGATGCACTGCAGAATCCATATGGTATATGTAGACAGTGTGTACGTGGATGTGTGCATGCATATGTGCATGAATAGGTTGCATGCTTGCATGCATGTGTGGATATGTGTATGTATGGGTGTTCATGCTTGCATGCACATAGATGTGTGCGTGCACACACATATGCCTTGGCGTGTTCACGTGTGTGCATGGATCTATGTGTGCACAAGGACGTGTGTGGATACATATGTGTGTGTGGACACTGTACATGTATGTATGTGCATGCATGCTTGTATGTGCAGGGAGAGGGTTTGAGGAGCCAAGCTCCCCTCCACCCGAGCTGAGGCTGCTCATGAAGCCCAGAGCGCGGCACCCCAGGCAGGCACCCTGCAGGTGCACACTCACATCCCTTCTCAGGGTCTGCCCGGCCCCAGCTCTTTCTGGCACAGCAGCTGGGGCCCCAAGTCTGATGGCTACATGGCCCTGGCTGGACCAACCCTGTCCTCCTGGGCCCCACGTATCACGGGTGAGATACAGGCAGGTTCACCTCTGCAGCTCCAGGACGCGCCACTTCTAGGTTCTCAGTTCTAGGAAATCTGCCCACTCCTGCTATGTACCCCCATGCACACGCACACACATCCCCCACAACCCCCGCCAGTGCAGCCTGACTACCCCAGCACCCTCCTTCCTCGCCCCTCCTAGTTGGGCCGAGCCCGCATCGTGCCTCTTCAGGACAGGAAGTCTTGCTGGGTGCATGCTGTTCTGCTTGTTACGGACAATCTGGAGCAGTTCCTCAAGTCTAATTTCAAGGTCTGGGGGAAGAGGCCTCTCCAGCTCCCTTGCAAACAGCTGTGGTCTCCGGGGCCTCCCACCACAGGCCGGCCTGCGTGCAAGGCAACCCCTATGCATGGCCCAGGGCTTCGCTTCCCCTAATGACTGGGCCCCAGCCTTTTGCCCCTTGGCTCCATCCAGGCCCTGGACTGGACCCTTCTGCTCCCTCCCTGGTCATGCCAGGAGGTGCTGCCAGCAGCATGCCAGCATGCTGGCTGCCATCCCCAAGGGCCTGGGCCACTCACTGGCCAGGCGATCCAGATGCCCTCAGCCTGGCCTGTGAGTGGCCCCTGCCTTCAGCCCTCCTGAGCAGTGGGAGGGTTCATCTAGCTCAGGGCCCCAGGTGCTCCGTGCCCTTTGGCCTCCAAATTCCTGTGCCTGGGCTGCCATCTCTCGGGAACACAGAAGCCAGGATCCTAGATAGATCCCCATGCCCCTGTGCATCCCCCAAAGCACTTCTCAAAATGAGAGTCCCTCATCCTGGGGGTGGGGGGCACGTAGATGCCAAGGGACAGAGCCCTTCTCCAAAGCCTTCATCTGGCCCCTGCCACTGCTCTTTCCTGAGTCCTCCTGTCTCCCCATGCCCCCAGTACGAAGTCCACCCCCACTGGAGCAAGCACAGCCTACAGACGCCTCCCCTTCCTCATAACACCTCCTCCTTCTCTAAGCAGAGTTTGGTCACCTCCTTCAGGAAGGCTTCCTTGACAACCCTGCTCCTAGGCTGGGGAAGGAGCCCCAGGGCACTGATGGTTGTCAGCGCATTCACCTCAGTGGGTGGCACCGTCCACCACAGATGGTGCGCGCCTCAACTGAGGCCAGGCCCCCTCACTCTGTACCATTGCAGGGGGCTCAATAGAGACAAAGGATCCAGTAGGCCAACCATGAAGGAAGCAGGTGTGTGTGGGCTTCCCTGAAAAATGTACCTCCAGGTGCCCTGGGCAGGTGACACCTTTTAGGCAACCAGGACCAGGAGTGCCTTTAGCAAGGATGGTGACTCTCCACCTTCTCTGGGTCACACACCTCCCACAGGACAGCCATAGCCTTTTGCTTCCCCAAAGGGCATATGTGCCCCAGACTAGCACAGGACTGGCATGGAAGGCTTTGGCTCCAAAGTGCGCTCCTGCTTGGCAGGCCCATCAACTGAAATATTTGCTTTCTGCCTGGCCCCAGCTTGGCCTCCACACCCCCAGTGCAGGCCCCGCTGGTGACAAACATGGTGAAGAACGAAGCTGTAGCTCCTGGCAGCGTCTCTGCGGAGACACAGGCTCCTCAGTAAAGCTGAGCCTCTGAGAACAGGACAGGCTCTGAGACTAAAGCTGGCACCCTTCAGGAGCTTAGAGAGAAGCTGCCCCAGGCCACGGGCATGGATAGGCATCCCAGGGGCGGTGGGCAGTCACTCCAGCCCCTCCTCATGATGACCTCCTGGGCACCCAGAAGCGCCCCTTCCCCGCCGGCTCTAGATACAAGATGCACAGCTTCCCTACCTCTCCCCTGCGGGCCCATGCACGGGGAGGCCAGCCAGCAGGGTTGCGTTTCTGGACGTCTGGGGGAAGGCTTGTCCCTTCGGTCCTAGCAGAGAAACACATCAGGCCTGAGAACTCCAGCTCTCCTCCTGGACCACCTCGTCCCTCGAGGTCCCTCTCCCACAGACCCCAGGCTGACTGGAGGCAGAAGCCAGCACCCAACATGGGCCACAGAGTGACAGCGCACATCTGCAGAACGGAGGTGCACGGACTGGGGCGAGGGTACACGGGTGCTACCTCAACGGCCGCTCTCCCCTGAGCCCACCCTTGCAAATAGCTCATCATCCAGGCAGCTCCGTTCTGGGTGTTTGTCAAAGGTGGTGACTTTGAACACTTCTCCATCCTTTAAAAGCAGGGCCTGAGAGCCTAAGGATTAAACTTCAATCACTGCTAACATGGGTGCAGAGCTTGGGAGCTTGCCCAGGGCTTCCACAGTCACCGCCGTTAGTTATGATTCATGCTCCAGCAGCGCTGGGAAGGGGGCCGAGAAAACTGAGGCCGGGGTGGGTGTGGAGGTGGCTCTGCCGGGGAGCGCCGATCCGGGATGTGGTCCGGACCCTGAGCTCGGCAGGACCTGTGCGCACCCAGGCAGCGTCGCGTCCTCCCCCAGGCTGCGAGAGGTTGCTCTGCCATCAGGCCATGGACCCCGAGCCGCCCGTGCTGCGTGCGCGCGTGTGCGCGCCCCCGCCTGCGCCCATGCCTGCGCTGGGGGAGGCGAAGGAGGCTCCCGTCTTAGAAAGAGCAGCTTCTGGAACTCACCGCCCAGGCCGGCCGCCGCTCGGCCCAGTCCCTCAGGCTGCAGGCGGCCCTGGAGAGGGCGCCCTCGCCGAGCGCGCGCCCCGCGCCGCCGCCCCGGACTCCTCCCCGGCGCCGCGCGGGCAGGTTCGACCAGGCGGCCGCGGGCTCCGGCTCCCGGCCCGCTCCCCAGGGCCCGCGGCCCGCCCCGCCCCGCGCGCCCGCCCCGCTGCGCAACTCGACCCAAGTTGGAAGCCAAGGCCAGGCGGCCGCACTCGCGCCCAGCGCAGGGCGGCGGCGGCGGCGAAGGAGGCGGCGGCGGCGGCGCAGCTCCGGCAAGCTAGGCGGCTGCCGCACGGCCGAGCCTGGACCGCGGGGGGCGCCCGCGCCTGGGAGCAGCGGGAGGACTCGCGGCGGCGCCGGCGCCCCGCCCGGGAAAGTAAAGTTGGAGCCGGAGGGAGCGCGCGGGCGCGGGGGCCCGGAGGAGCGGCGGCCGGCGCCCCGGCGCGCCGAGCCCTAGCCGGCCGGATGGGAGGCAGAGCGCCCGGGCCGCCGCCGCCTGTCGCCTGCGCCCTGGCCGGGCTCCGGGGCCGCGGGGCCGCTCAGGCACGCCCGCTCGGGCGCCGCGTCGCCGTGGGCTCGCCGCCGGGGCGCTCCCCGTGAGCCGGGCCGAGGGCGGGGCCGCGCGAGGACCCCGGGACCTGCCCCCCCTCCCCCCGCCGCCGCGTCGCCGCTCGCTCCGGGCGCCTCCTGCTCTGCACTTACGCGCTCGGCAGCTGCGGGGAGCCCGGCAGCCACGCTCTCCGGCTCGCCGCCCGCCGAGCCACCACGGCCGAGGGCCGGCTGCGGGGCGCCGCGGTCCCCGGCGGGCGCGCCCGAGCAGCAGGCGGCGATGCGGGCGCCGACCCCGGCTGGGGGGCGCCCAAGCTGCCGCGGCTGCTCCCCGGCTCCAGCAGGGACCGCGTAGCTCGCGGGAGGACCATGGCGTCCCCGGCGCTGGCGGCGGCGCTGGCGGTGGCGGCAGCTGCGGGCCCCAATGCGAGCGGCGCGGGCGAGAGGGGCAGCGGCGCCAACGCCTCGGGGGCTTCCTGGGGGCCGCCACGCGGCCAGTACTCGGCGGGTGCGGTGGCAGGGCTGGCGGCCGTGGTGGGCTTCCTCATCGTCTTCACCGTGGTGGGCAACGTGCTGGTGGTGATCGCCGTGCTGACCAGCCGGGCGCTGCGCGCGCCACAGAACCTCTTCCTGGTGTCGCTGGCCTCGGCCGACATCCTGGTGGCCACGCTAGTCATGCCCTTCTCGCTGGCCAACGAGCTAATGGCCTACTGGTACTTCGGGCAGGTGTGGTGCGGCGTGTACCTGGCGCTCGATGTGCTGTTTTGCACCTCGTCGATCGTGCACCTGTGTGCCATCAGCCTGGACCGCTACTGGTCGGTGACGCAGGCCGTCGAGTACAACCTGAAGCGCACGCCACGCCGCGTCAAGGCCACCATCGTGGCCGTGTGGCTCATCTCGGCCGTCATCTCCTTCCCGCCGCTGGTCTCGCTCTACCGCCAGCCCGACGGCGCCGCCTACCCGCAGTGCGGCCTCAACGACGAGACCTGGTACATCCTGTCCTCCTGCATCGGCTCCTTCTTCGCGCCCTGCCTCATCATGGGCCTGGTCTACGCGCGCATCTACCGCGTGGCCAAGCTGCGCACGCGCACGCTCAGCGAGAAGCGCGCCCCCGTGGGCCCCGACGGTGCGTCCCCGACCACCGAAAACGGGCTGGGCGCGGCGGCAGGCGCGGGTGAGAACGGGCACTGCGCGCCCCCGCGCGCCGACGTGGAGCCGGACGAGAGCAGCGAGGCGGCCGAGAGGCGGCGGCGCCGGGGCGCGCTGCGGAGGGGCAGGCGGCGGCGCGCGGGCGCCGAGGGGGGCGCGGGCGCGGGCGGCGCCGACGGGCAGGGGGCGGCTGAGTCGGGGGCGCTGACCGCCTCCAGGTCCCCGGGCCCCGGCGGCCGCCTGTCGCGCGCCAGCTCGCGCTCCGTCGAGTTCTTCCTGTCGCGCAGGCGCCGGGCGCGCAGCAGCGTGTGCCGCCGCAAGGTGGCCCAGGCGCGCGAGAAGCGCTTCACCTTCGTGCTGGCCGTGGTCATGGGCGTGTTCGTGCTCTGCTGGTTCCCCTTCTTCTTCAGCTACAGCCTGTACGGTATCTGCCGCGAGGCCTGCCAGGTGCCCGTCCCGCTCTTCAAGTTCTTCTTCTGGATCGGCTACTGCAACAGCTCGCTGAACCCAGTCATCTACACGGTCTTCAACCAGGACTTCCGGCGATCCTTCAAGCACATCCTCTTCCGACGGAGGAGAAGGGGCTTCAGGCAGTGACTCGCGCCCGTCTGGGGATCCTGGACAGCTCCACGCTCAGGGCTGGGCAGAAAGGGCGGCCCAGACGGGAGCTTTCCCAGAGACCCGGGGATGGATTGGCCTCCAGGGCGCAGGGGAGGGTGCGGCAGGGCAGGAGCTTGGCAGAGAGAGAGCCGGGCTCCGGGGAGTGGGGAGGAGAGAGGGGGAGACCCCTTTGCCTTCCCGCCTCAGCAAGGGGCTGCTTCTGGGGCTCCCTGCCTGGATCCAGCTGTGGGGGCCCTGCCGAGGTGTGGCTGTGAGGTCAGGGTTTTAGAGAGCAGTGTCAGAGGTAGCTTCCTAAATGGGCGAGCAAGGAGCCCCCCGAAACACACTACCACTCCCCATCCCCGTCTGACCAAGGGCTGACTTCTCCAGGACCTAGTCGGGGGGTGGCTGCCAGGGGGCAAGGAGAAAGCACCGACAATCTTTGATTACTGAAAGTATTTAAATGTTTGCCAAAAACAACAGCCAAACCACCAAACTATTTTCTAAATAAACCTTTGTAATCTAATGTTGGGTGCCGCAGTCAGTCCTTGAGCTTGGGGGCTGGGAGTATCTTCCAGCCCCTCACCCTGCCTGACACCCTCCGCCTTCCTCAGCCCCGCAAGGCTGGACGGAGGGCACCCTGGGCCTCTGGGTTGCAACTTCCCTCTTGCATGAGAAGGAGGGGGTCTTGCTTTTTCTCAAGCTAACGCTTTATGTACATGGAAAATATGTACTCAAAATTCCCGTACTGAGAGTAGCGAAGAGGGGAAAGGAGCCTAGAACCCCCAAGTTATCCCCAAGTTTAGATTCTGGGGGACTGTCTTTCCCGCATTCCCATCCCTGCCGGTCCCCACTCTGATATTCAGAGCCTCCTGGTGGAAAGAGGTGGGGCTCTTCCAGTCCAAGCCTCCTGGTAGCTTTGAGCTAGTCCTCCGGGCTCTGAACGTTTTGTGGGCGTGGCTTTTGGGTGGAGAGAGGGTGGGCATGAGGCCGGCAAGCCCCCACACCATCATTCTAGACCAGAGGCCTGGCCAGAGCCAGGTTGAACAACAGGCACTTTCTTATTTCCTCCACAAACTGAAAGTCATTGAGGCCCCAGAGCAGTGGAGTGGGACAAGCCAGCAGTGGCTGGGGAGGGGCCTGGGGCCGGCCTGTTTCCTGCGGTGCCCTCAGTGTCTCCCCAGTGCAGCCCTGCCCTTCCCCCCTGCTCCACCGTCAGGCCCAGCAGGTGTCCCCACTGTCCCCACTGCTGCTTGAGGAAGGGCAGTGGAAGGTGGGGGATAGAATACCGAGGTGGGCTTCCTGGTGCTGTACCTTCATGGTGTAGGGACCGCTGAGACTCAGCCGTTTCACAGGGCTTGGAAGCTGCCAGGATGGCTGAGGTGGAGGGGCAGAAGTGGGCCCTGGGCCTGGTAGGAGCTGGGCAGGGGTCCCCCCAACACACACGCACAGCTCGGTAGGAGTGCAAGGGCTGTGTCAGGCCTCCTGCTTGTGACCATCCATTCCCCATTCCCGTCCCCCTTCCCATCTCTGGGAGGCCCCCCTGGGCTTCCCTGTGTGTACCCTCCCCTCCCAGACCCTGCCTGCCCAGCTCAGCCCAGATCCATCCTGGATACCCACCTCGCTGTCTTTGGCATGGGGGGCCAGGGTCTGCCTGGGGAGGGGTCAGCCCTGGGTCCTGCGTTCTTCCGCGAGCCCCCGTCCGCGAAGTCAGGTTACAGAGCAGGGGGGCCTGACTTGCCAGAGTTGGCCCTTGGAGAACCCCCTTGCCGCAGCTGCCTGGCTTCCACTCCAGATAATGGGTCTTCAGGATGCCCCAGCTGAGAACTCTCCCAGCCGTGTCCACAGCTGGCACGTGCTAACGCTCGCACCTGCGGCGTGCTAGGCTCAGACACAGGTGGGAAGATGCAGACAGCAGTGGGGGCAGGGGAGGGGTGGAGAACATGGCCAGTCAAGGCCGATGAGGACATCCTTGACCTTCCCCGACCAGGCCTGGGCAGGGAGTCCTGAGCTGTTGGCCCAGCTTGTCCTGGAGCTGCTGCACTGGCTCAGACAAATCCCTGCTCTGTGGGCCTCGGTGCCCTACCTGGGAAGTGGAGGGGGTCCTGGGAGCCCTCTTGGGCCCTGCCAGGCCTGCCAATCTGTGGGGCAATCTATCCTCTGAACCTGGGACCACAGGAGACCCCACCTCAGAGACTCTATGGCTGGCATCGCACCTAGGGATACTCCGAGGGCAGGCCTTGGGGCTGCGAGGGAATCACTGCACACACGGAAAAGACCCCAGAGCTCAGGATTTCTGCTCCAGAATCTGCATCTTACCAAGCCGGCAGGAGGGGCCCAAAATTCACAACTGCAAGATGGGAGGGCAGACCCCCAACCCTCCACCTGTCAGCACTCAAGACCCCCAGTCCCACCCAGGGCACCCTTCCCTTCAGAGCACCAGCATTTCGTGTGATAATTTGACATTTCCTGGGGCTGAGAGAGGTGGATTAACCTGCCTGAGGTCACACAGCTGGTGATAAGACCTGACAGGGCCCAGGTTTCTTGGCCCCAAATTCAACCAGATAACAAGTATTTCTTGAGTATCTCCACCAGCTCCTACTGCCTCCCGGCAGGTCTTCAGGAATGGGCAACTTCCCACAGCTGAGGGCAGACCCCACGTGGAGGCCCAGCATGAGCAAGGGGCTGGAGGTAGGAGGTGCCAGTATGTTTTAGGAAATGGGGTGCCAGTATGGGGAGGGGGAGACGACACAGGAGGTTGGGCAGAGGGGCCGGGTGCCAGGCTGCAGGGGAGAAGCCGGTGGGAGGGTGTTTGGACAGAGTGTCAGGTTTTGATCTGAGCCCCTGGGGGCTGTGAGGTCTGCAGATGAAGCACAACCTCCCAGGGCTGGAGCCTGCCCTGTCACATGCTTAGCAGTGTGGCCTACTGAGCATGTCATCTCCGAACCGCAGATCCTCCTCCCTGCAAGGGGATAACCACAGCCCCCCACACCCAGGGCTCCTGGGGGATTAACTGCGAGGATACAGCAGGGCACGCAGCCTGGTACACGCTCAGGGAAGAATGTCAGCAAACCTTCCTCCTCTTCCTGTCCTGACCCCGCCAGTCGCACCCTCCGGGGCTGTGGCCGGGACTGCAGCCGGCAGATGTTCACCACTCGATCTTGATTGCCGCCTGGAGAGACTTTCTTTTCAGCTGGATAAACAGACACGGAAACCTGGCTTCTCACCCTGCCTGCTGCAGGAACACATGTCACCTTGCTCTGAGTCCTGGTCTCTTCATCCATGAAGGGGGCACTGACACCCACTCCGAGGGTAACATGAGCCCCGAGTGTCCCCAAACCCAGCCTGGGAACCACCTACCAAGAGGACTTCTCGATGCCCAGAGCAAGGCCCTCCCCTCTGCCGACCTGTCCACCATGGCCCCTGCCTCCCTGAGTGGCTCTCCTCTCCACGGACGAAGGCTGGGCCTGTCTCTCTTCTTCATGCCGACTTCATGGAGCCAGAGTGGCCTGATGTCAACCCCTGCCTGTGGTTGAGGAAACTGAGGCCCAGAGGTGACTATGTGGCCAGGGACCCCTAGGGGTGAGGAGGCAAACTGTGGACCCAGAAAGGTCCCTTTGCAGAGAGCCTGGGCTCTGATCCCACCCCGTCCCAAGCCAGTGCCGTAGGTAGCATGGGATGCATTCCTGGTCCGGGCCACAGAGCAGTGTTTTCCACGACCGGTTTCCTGTGCAGAGCTCCCCGTTGGGCTCTTGGGAGATTTCAGGCAAAATAAAATAAAGCAGCCACTACCGACGGAGGAGGGCTTGCCCTGCGTGGAGAGTGCCGGCCCGAACGCCGTCCTGCTCAGGGTTCCTGTGTACCTGGCCCAAGCCTATCACAGATGCAGCTCCTACCAGATATACATAGATATGCATATGTTTTCATTAACTCCTGTATTTTAATCCCATGGCTGAGTTGGTAGGAAAGGAGGGAAAAGAAAAAATCCAAATTATTCCATTGCAGCTCAGTGTGGAATTCAAAAGGAAATATTCCTTGGTGCAGGCAGCAATGTTCGTACTTTATAGAAGCAGCTCCAGGCTTTGGATCCTGCCCCCGACTCCGGGGGTGGGGGCTGGGGGTGGGGGGAAACACGTTGCCGTGGCACTTGCTGGCGAGGAAGCCGCCCTTCCCGGCTGTGCTGGCAGCCGGCTGTATTTTTATATCACATCCATCGGCAGGGCTCAAATATTCCAGTGCCACGTCAGATCAAAACACACGGCGCCTGCAAGTCCATCTCCAGTCTGGTTGGACAGCCACGGCCCCTCCATGTCCCCGCTGCCATCAGCCCATGGTGGCCTCCACGTGCAAGGGGTGGGGGAGGAGCAGCCCTGTGTGGAGGGCCCTGTGCGGAGTGCCACAGGCACCCCTTTATGCAGGTACCTCCACCGTCCCTGGGCAGGCATGGGCAGCCTCCGCTATGTGCCAGGGGAGATCTGAGGGTCATGACATGGATGTGGGCTGGGGCCTGACAAAGACGGGAGGGTCTCTAGAGCTGAGGAGCAGAGGAGGGAGACACCCAAGTCTTCAAGGCCCAGGGGAAGCTTTTCCATCTTGAGGTCCCCGTTGTCCTCCCACTGGGTTTGCCTTGAGTGGCCAGGGGACCTCCGGCCCCACTCCCGAGGGTCCGCACCCTCTGCGACCCAGCAGGACCGTGGAGAGCATGGATTGCAGCAGGCAGTAGAGGAGGATGGGGAGACTGGGAACCTGACAGGCTCCCTGGGGCCACGCCCTGCCTGACCCACCAGTGTAAATAGGCTGCAGTGTCTCCTGCCAAGGCTAGGGCCTCTACTCTAGCAGGGCTCAGTGCCACCCCTCTGAGATCTGCCTGGGAAGCAGAGTCAACTGCAAACTCTGGGCCAAAAGAAAGCTCTGGGGACCAAAAATGCCTTTCCTTCCTGCCAAGAGGGTTTGTGGCTGCTCCCAGTAAAAGCCTTGGGTACAATAGTGTTGTGATGGTCCTGATAAGGAATCAAACCAGGCAAGGCAGAGGTGGGGCGCTGGCCCAGAAAGCTCAGTTAAAGACATTCTGCCCTTATGTACGAGCACAAAACATGCCCAGAGCTGCCTGGCAGCCACGGAGAAAAGGGAAAAAGGATAGAAACTCCCTCTCGCCACCTGATGCATGGTTGACAGGAAAGTCTGTAGACCAGGGGTTGGCAGCTAGACTCACCTAGAAGACCACCAGTCCCACAAGGCCTCCACAACTCTGGAGACTCTGCCTCCAGGGGAGGGCTTTGGGGACTGCAGAGAACCCCAGAGGGACATTCATGCCAGATTCTCTATTGGAGTGGGGGAATGGTCAAATCCCCATCCTAGCCTCCATCTCCAGCTGCACCAGACTGGGCCATTTTATGATTCATTCCAGCAACACTCCCGTCAGGCGCTGGCTCTGCACTGGGGAGGCTGTGGGGGAGGACAGCCATGGGGGAGTGGCTCCCAGCCCAGTGTCCCAGACTGGCCCTGTGGCTGTGCAGACTCCACTGG